GTGCACACTGGCACACACATACCCACGCACTCACCTGGAGCCTGTCACACACAGAGTCACGTACAAACGCGCTCACACACGGCCACACACGTCCCCCAACCTCTGTTTCTGCAGGAGCAGGGGGACAGGGAAGGCGGCCCAGGAAGGCCTCCAAACTGCGGTGACCCTCCCCCCCCCACCTCACCCGCACGCGATCCAGTCTGAGAAAAGAGATGGGGCGGACTGGGGGTTGGGGGAAGCACGCAGGATCTCACCCCTCTCCCCTTCTCCTCTCCTAGCCTTCTCCTCCCCATCCGCCTCCCCCACCCCTTCCGGACTAAACTTTTCCCTCCCTCACCTCCCTGCCAGCCCCCCTCAGCGCCACCTCTGTCGGAACCCGGAGCTTTCCGCACAGCCTCCCCGGGAAGGGGGTCGGGAGGCTGCACCCCCGAGGACCAGAGCGGGGCGCGGCCTGGCTCGCGCGCCGGCGCCCTCAGGGACGGAGAGAGGAGGGAGGGCGCCGGGCCGGAGCCACAGCGCCTAGAGCCCGGTGCTCGGACTTCTGCTTCCTTTTCCCAGGTCAGTGGGAGAAGAGCCCCGGGACCAGCGCTCGGAGCCCTCCAGGAGTCCGGGGAAGAAGAAGGGCAGCTATGCCGGGGGCAAGCCAAGAGACCACAGTTTTGGAGCACTTCAACGGAAAGGACTTGCATGTTGTGAGGCTTTCTTCCCCCTTCTCTTCTCGACTTTTTTGTTTGTCCCCAACTTTGGAGTTGGGTCCGGACCTCCCAGGGAGCACGGACCGCGCCGAGGTGGGGAGGGGCAGCAGAACCCGGAAGCCGCGCTGGCCCCTCCTCACTGGCTCTCACACTCGCGCCCACCGGCGTGCACACGCTCCAGGCCAGTCGGTGTGGACCCCGACCCGCGCCCAGCCGGATCGAGGCGGGAGCTGCCACTCGGACAGGTGGGGACCTGGGTGGGCAAGGGACCCCCTCGGCCTGGGGTCGCCAGGCTCTGGGAACCTTCTGGGGGAGGAGGAGGTGGGTGAATAAAAGAAGGGGAGCAAAATAAAAGAAGAAAATTCAAGCGTAGCCGCTGAATTTACTGCGGGGTTTGGGGAGCAAGGGATGAACATTAGGGTTTCAGTTCTGGGGTCTGGGTGGAATTCAATGTAAAGAGAAAAGCAGGATGTCTGATTAAAGAGAAGGAAAATAGAGAAGTCTGTGTAACCGCCTTGCTTTCAGGAGCCTTGAGCTCTAAAATCCCCGGCCCTAGGGACCTGGCCGACAGTGCGGTACAGCTCCAGAGCGGTTCGGGAATGCCGAGGAGAAGGTGAAAGTCTTTCTTCCCATAACGTGAGCCAAGGGGCCCTGCGTCTCGCTCCCCACCATCCCTGTACGGTCCTAAGCCGGCTGGTCAACCCTCCCGCAGCGATGGGTCGGGTATCTGCGCCCTGGTGTCTGGGATGCCCGGCGCCCAGCCCGCAGCCGGCGCAGCCGGCTCACAGGCAACCAGGGCCCAGGGAGCCCTTTCCGAATCCTGACCCTCGGGAGCAATTTTCTAAAATCACTGAACTGTTTCCCAATTTCCCATAGTCAAGCGGAGACAGGGCTTAATTTTCTCTGCTTGTCCAGGCTTTAGAGAGAGAGAAAAAAAGCCCCAAACAAACAAAAAACTGTTTCTGTAACAAAAAAGTCTGTCCTGTGAACGGCAGCTCCCTCGGATAAAAGGGAGAAAACCCTGAGGGAAGGCAGATGCTGGGGGCATAACTCCAAATACTGAAATTCCTAAAGGTGACAACTTCCAGCAGCAGGCTTTTTTTTCGGGGGAGGGGGGTCTCTAGGAACCTGGACATTCATGGGTATACTTCTTGCATACAGAACAAAAAAGAAAAGAAAAGGAAAGAAATTCTCCCTGCCTCTTCCCTCCAGTCTTCTGGGCTATCTACAAACAAAGCAGCCGCCCCAATTTCTAGAGTCAACGGAGCATTTTATTTTCCATGGTTTGCCTCCCACGCACCCCCCACCCACCTCAGCTTTTCCCCTTCCCCTGCCTCCTCCAGTCCCACTCCAAGCTTCGGGTAGAATTGCTTCGGATCCCTAACCAATACCCAACGAATCCCCCTACACCCACCCACCCCCCACATTATTATCGCCTCCAAATGAAGACCAAAACCCCAAGCGCTAATTGAATTAGTCTATTGAAAGGACTGTCAGGTACAATGACGTGGCTCGAGGCCCCACATTTCCCAAGGTCTATAGGCTTTGGGGACCTGCGATGTATAGTCTGACCTTCCGGCTCATAATAATACCGCCGCACTTGTAGCAGAAATCTCCTCGCATTCAGTCCCAACAAAACCGCTGGTCACCCAGTCCCCGTAGGAAGGCTGCGCGCTATTGTGTTGCGACAACTCATTCATGTCCCGCGCCACGAGGCCCCACCGCCATCTGATCTACACTCGAAATGCGATTACCACCGTGTGCCTGCAACACGCTCGTGCTCTCGGCCCAACGCACGCACGCCTGGCCAGGCTGCAAGGTCTTCTCTCACAATTCTCCTTCTATCTATCCTCAAAAGAGAGGTGGAAGCAGGCAGGACCATGACATTTGTCTCTGCCTAAACGAAATCCAAAGTTCTGTGGAAATGCAGGCTGGCAGGAGATTTCTCTTTTGGAACAGCATACACCAAAACCCCCAGCAAACACATTTTTCCATGCTCATCTTGTGGGCCAGATTCATGTGTACAAACACGAGCCTTCCGCCACGTTCACAAGTAGACAGACGCAAAAACAGTGCTTTTACAGGCTCATTTCTCTCTCTGTGGTTCTCACATACAAAAGCAAA